CCTGGGCACCCAGCACCTCCTACTGAAGAATCCAGCTGTCCTAAGTGAATGTCCTAGCTCCTAGACAAAAGGATACACCCCTTACTCTCTCACCCTCTCAGTTATTCATGAACTATTTGTACCAAGTGGAACATTTTAAGAGAAGAGTTTGTTTCATTTCAGGTTATCCTACGAACCACTTTAGAGACCTTGTTTTCATTCACATCTTAACTCCAAACAAGGCAGAGGAGAGAGTTAACTTGTGTGTTTTGCTTGCCCATTATTTCATTGACAGAGGACTTTCTGATTGCTTTCTGTTGGACAAATTTGTTCAGTATGTTCTGAAACCACTTACTGGTTTGGGCCCCACAGAGATGCAGGAAACACCTGGTATGAAACTTTGGTAGCCACGTAGCTCAGTGTTGCCAGGATCTGAGTGGTTATGGAGAATCAAGGTAGTTGGCAGCTAAGTAGAGACTTTGAAGATTTAAATTTTGCTCTTTGAAAAAGTATGGATGAGGATTCAGAAACTAGGAAAGAATACAAATACCCTCAGACATCTCTCAAGTACATTAAGGGTGAGACCATCCTCTCTCTTTCTGCACTTCCCTCTCAAAATTTCACTGACTAGTGTTGCAAAGTAAATCCAATAGTTTCTCCTGATTTAGGTCTTACTTTTATTAGCAAGGAGCCAATTTCCTCTGGCTCATACCACCGACCAACAGATGCCCACTGCTCCATGTTAAGAGGGAAGTCTTCATGTCCACAGTCGGTGAAAAGGGGAAAATTTGATCAAAAGTTTTTCTCTTTTCCCTTGTCATTCTGTAAATACAGGAGGAACTGTTATATTGAATATTATTATTATGCAGTATGAAGGATTCCAATTAGCCCCAATATCCCTCAGGCTTCCTCTTCTATTTTTATAATTTTTTTTTTTTAATAATGAAACTTCTCAAACTTATTTGTATGGGTCTTAGACATCCAGACAGTAATGATCACACACAACCTTCAAAATGGTGTAAAAAAATATGTTGGAGTTAACTTCTGAATATTGCTTATACTTTTATTTGTAGCCAGGCTGGATTCTAGAGAAGATAAGAGCCTGTTGGCTTCAGCATAAATTATAAAACCCACAGTAACTTCAATGTTGAGGAACCCCTCCCTTTCTCAAAGGCTGTCTATTTTGGATACTAAATTGTATATAGCTTTGTTTAATGCTAATAACATTGCCTGCTGGATCTTGACTAGAAAGGTTAGGTTATAAAGAAGAAGTCTCATTATCCCATAGAGTGATCACATCTTTGATCTCACATCTTTGGTTGAGTCTTTGAAAATTTTGCACTTAGCTGCTGATGCCTTACTATTATGGTCCTTTTCTACTTGTCAGGAAGATCAGCTTCAAGAGATAAGGGGATGTATAAAATGTAGGTTCACCACAAAAAAAAAAAAAAAAAAAAAATCAATGACCAAAACTTGCTTGAGAAGAAGAATGGATTTTTTCCTGGAGAGCTGGCTCAGATTCCCTGGTAAGCAATCAAAGTGAATATTGCTCACTTGGAGGTAACAGAAATTAGAGAGGGAAAAGTGGACAGTGGCCCATGTTGGAAATCATTAAATATTCAGGTTATGCAGAGTATATGATAATTTCATTATTAGTTTCAGATGTCAACTTGTATTCTGGAAGTCTAAAGCTGTTTTGGTCTAGTGTTACTTATTTAGCACTAGAAGTGCCAGCTTGCAGGGTAGGAAGCCTAGGCAGAGAGGGAAGAAGGCAGGAAGATAATTAGTCAACTTAATCAATGGACAGAATAAAAATATTAAAAGTGGAATCAGGCTCTTATTCTAGATAACTAACTTAATAAGCTAGTTCTCAGGTGAACAAAATCACCTGAGAATAAAAACAGCTCTCAGTTTAAGTGTGAGAGTGGGAAATGCGGTTCCTCACTAAGAAAATGCATCTCCAAAAGAGCTATTTGGGAAAGCCTCCCTCTGACAGAGCCTCAAGTAAGATGATGACTTCCACAACAAACTGCCTGAGCTTATGACACAGTGGACTACTGCAGGTTAGGTACCACCATGGTTGTTAACGTTCATGTTGAATTAGAAATAGAAGTGGAATTCCATAAATCATAAAGAAAATGCCTTAGACCAGAAGAAAGTATCTCCCTCCTCCAAACAAAACTGGACAGTGAGGTCTTACACTTCTGGGAACAGGTTGATATGTGGCTTGAAGGTATCCTTTTAACACACACAACAAACTACAAAAAAGGATGGCCTGTGTTGCTTATATTATTGCCTGATTATTTCCAGATGTTACTTAATAGATTTGCAGCCTTGTTGAATTACTCTTGTATCTTAGCTTGTCTTTTTGTGCTATGCAAGAAGAGTAAACAAGAGGACATACATACAGAGTTCATAGCCTAGTACTGATCCTGGATAAGACGTGTCTTAATACGTTACAAGATAATAGCATAGTTGAAACCAATTAAATTCTTGTCCATCGTGTCACTAAACCAAAGAACTTTTGTAAATTTGGTAAACTGCATAGGGGATTACAGTGAAACATTTGATTCAGATTACAACTGATTTTAAAAGATTATCATGCAATGCCAATATAGCACACAGGAAACAGTAATATCAGTAATTAGAAATAAACTAAAAGAATTGTTTTCTTAACTTAAAATCACTAATTATGTAATAGTAATAAAGAATAAATAGGTTACCAATGGCCAGCTACAAATCTCAAAACAGAAAATGCTTCTTATTTTTAAAAGCAGCTATGCAGAAATCTATTCCTGCCTCAGTACTGTTCAGCTGTGGATTTACTGTGAGTAAGCAATGAATATAGAAGCCTTCCAACTGCTAATTGTGGCTTACTATTTACAAAGTTTATTTATAAACGCATTTTCATGCAAGTATAAAATACTAATTCCATGGACAAATACACATTTGTTCACCACTAAATTATATACATTGTATTTGCATCTAATACTCAGAGAAGTGCAAAGTCCACAGTGATGTAAATAACAATAGTTTTGTAAACTATTAGATGATGAGCTCTCAAAAGATATTAGTAAATGTATAGCGTATCTTTTTGTATACTGCTGAAATCAAACATTTTTGCAGTAAAAGAACATACATTTCAGCTACATTCAAGTGATTATTTTATTACCATACATTATGTCTTACAAACTTTGCCGGAGATGAGCAAGAGCACTACAAAACCATACCTTAACGCAAGAGGTGTACTGCATGGTATGTGCAGGCATAGCAAAGGAGAGATAAGAACTGGAAAGAAAAACAAGCTAAGAAAACTTGTACAAAAATGGATAGTAATACTGACTAACACTGGGTTATAATCTTACTTATAACAGACCTGAAGGGCTAATAGAGATTCAGTTTAGAAACATCTGTGCACTGTAGGTACAGTTTTGTGCAGATCAAGAGTGCACTAATACAGTCAATGTTGTACACATAACATAATGCACAAAATACGCCGATATGCATATAAACAACTAATTTGTTTACAGTAAGTAGGGCAGCACAGTTGTACTGCATCCTTGGCACTTAGTGATAGGACAACATGTATTTGGTTTAACTAAATTAATAAACAGGATATATACTGGTTTGTAAGATGTAAAACATCATTATCCCTTTGAACCTTCTGGTTTTACAGCATTTTTCTAATTTTCAAGTTCAAATGCAAACATGATACACTGGCTAGATATGGAAGACGTTTCAGATATTGGCTTAAAACAAGACCTTCAATAAAAAAAAATGACAGAATCACAAATTAATTCAAATGATATTAATTAAATCTGTTACTGATGTCTTGTGCTGAAAACAAGATCTGAAACGTTAAAAAAACCCAACCCAACCTTGTAATACAACCCACAATGTCTTTATGGGCTTTTCCTGAATAGTAATTGCTTCCTTAATGTCCCTTTCATATATGGTAATTTCACTTAAAAGACCTGCTGAAGTTACTAATCTGAAAAGGTGTAACTCAATTAGAAGTTTGGCCTAGCACATCATATCACATGGAGTAGAAGAAAATATGCTCCTCTTCAAAGAAAGCATGTTTCAGCTACAAAAGGATTCCAATTTTAAGTGATTGTCCTTGTATGAAACAATATTAACAACCATCTGGAGGGAGCCAATTTACTTTTGCCTGTTTTAAAGAAACTGGCTAAATTGCCATTTTATATTATATATAACAAATGTAATAAAATTGTTCTTAACATATAATGATGTAACACTTTAAAATTAACTGGTTTAAAATATTTTACAAAGACATTTTATTATATATGAACTATACAACACACAAGAGTATGAAATATTTTTAACATATACACATATCTGTATTTTTCACGTAGATTATTATTTTGCACCAAACATTGGTGTCTGCAATTCTAACAATCCTCTCAGATAAAAACAAAACAAAAAACCAGAACATTTTTGTGGATGTGGGTTTTCTTTTTTGTCCTGAAAATAAAAACCCGTTACAAGGAGAATTTCTCTAATAACTTTTTTCTTTTCCCAATTTCATATTTTGCACAAAGCTTTTCAAATGGATCAACATACATAAAAAGAATAACCTCTCTGTACTTTGCAGTGCAATTTGCTAGGGATAAAGTTTAAACCAAAACTGACCCTTTCCCCACTATAAACATTGAAAACTGCAGTCAAAGTAAACGTCAATACCAATCACTACTGATACTCTTTTCCCCCTTATTTAAAATGCAATCCTTTTCAATATCCATTTTAATGAAAGTATTTGCATAGAGCAGCCTTGTATTATTTCTAAAGAACATTATGAGCAATTTAACACAAGATAAGGCACATGTTTTTCAGCATTAATAATCTACAACTAATCCTGAGGATCTGTTCCTCCCCCTCAGCAAAATCTGCTTTTTTAATATACCCTGTACTACCTGAAGAAAGCAGAAAAGCAGTATAAAATAAATCAAAACTCTTTAGCTGAACTAAATTCAGAACTTTAATAACTCCTCATAATAGTGTAACAAATCCACAGATAAAGAATTAAGTCATTCTCTAAACAAACAAATTGGGAGCGTGGGTGGGGGGAGAAAAAAGATACAGCCAGTAGCACTGTAGATGTTAGATAAAAGTTCGCATAATATGGATGACATTTCTAGTGAGTTTTGCTAAAATAAGCTCCCATCAGAAACAACGTAGTTAAATTGTGAGGCACTTAAGGTTGACGAGAAAAGGAGGAATGCAAGGGGTCTGTTTCATAGAAAACCTGAAGTTGCATATCATATCCTTGTATTAAGCCTTCTATTAAAGTGCTAGAAATGGAGACTTAAAACAAAAGGATTTAAATATGAAATAAGTGATTAAAGAGCTTAGTATGCATTAAAATTAAGTGCTTTTGATTCTCATGAATTCAGAGCTTTTTAATAGTTTTCAAAAAATAAAGTCTGGAAATAATCCACATGTGAAATCATCTTCCTTGTGCCATTGATGCTATTTGTAAAGTGCCCAATTATTTTCTAAACAACAAAACCATTTGCCTTATCTTATGTTGTATAGCATGACATAGCCTGTAGTACATATGTAATCCATACTGCAATGACACAGTAAATCTGATGGAAAACAGCACATGCATACTTTTAGTCAGAAGTTTCAATTCCACCTGTCACTCTAAAAAGCCAGGTCTTGGATTACATATCCACCAGTATATAGTGCAACCAACCTCATATTCTCAAAATGTAATTTAGCTGTTAAAGTCCAATGCTCAAATATAGACTTATCAAGCTTTTCCTCAGAGCAGCCTGACACCCAGACAAAATCACAGATGGAGCTCTAGATCTGAATCACATAAATCCACTAGATGCCAAATCTGAGAAGGATCTGGGTTCTGTCGGATGATGAAGAGGCTGAAGATGTGTGGCAGTCTGTGCATTACTGATCACATCTAACTGAGAGGGATACGCTTCATTTACATTTCCTCCATTGAAACCGTTTTGGAACTGGCAGGGAAAAAGACAATATAAATGATTAGTATGGGAAACCGATTTATTTCTAAGTTTGAAAAAAGTCCCCATAAAGCACAGATTGGATGAAATAATCTTAAAATATAATGAACAGCTTTAAAACTTTTTTTTTTCACGATGACTGATGAGAAGTTAATTTGCATTAGAGTAGGGTCTGAATCATCATTGAAACTTACCCATGTTGAAGTCTGTGGGAGTCCTACTTCTGGCTAAGTAAAGAAACATCACTATTATCTGAAGTGTAATATAGTTTCCATTTGTAGAAATTACAGTCTGACTGAACACTCCTAATTTCCACATCCAGCTGTTACATTTTAAAAGCAACCTGTTTACATATTTTCATGTCTGCAATGGGATGCAATGGGATCCAGACTTTTCAGCTCTCCCAGGAATGCACATGCAGTCCTATTCGTAACCTGAAGGGTACTGCATTCAATCTACAGGCTGAGCTGTCACAGGGTGGGCTTTTTTGACAAACAGTCTTCATATTGACAATGCCAAGTAAGAGCAATGAATGGCATTCATCAGTCTTGACATAATTGGTCATAGAATTATTTTAATCATCTGATGGAATGCTTCCTGTCATGCTATGGAAAAGTCGCTTTACACTATACTCCATTCAGTCATGCAAAGAAAATACAACACTATTTTAAACATTTCCATCATCTCTTCGTGAGTAGGTTTTATCATAAATAGTCATTCATTCAAAGTTTGTCCTTAAAACATATATTATACATTCATTCATCTATCAAAACATGCTGGTTGTTGGAAACATTTTTCCTTCTACAAAAAACATTGAAATTTGACTAACTGTGCACAGTTCTAAGTTTTTAACAAGACTATTAGCCATGTGAATTGTTTTTAATCAAAGTTGCCATACTTTTAAAGACAGCTACAATAACATAAGCTAGGATTACTTCTGACAGAGGCAGATTATTTCAATATTCTTCATTAAGAAGATGAGCATACTCATTAAAATTTCTCAGAAAGTTCTCAACACAGAATCTAGTAATTAGCAAGGTTTCTCCTGTTTAATAAAGGAATACCGACCTTAAACAAGCAACCAAATTATCTAAGGCCTTTCTGCCCTTCTCCATCACTGAAAGTGTTTTTAGACTACATCGGCTATGATCCTACTACAATTACAAGTTAGGCAGAAGGTCAAGGCAGATGACCACAATAGACCCTTCTGGCTTTCTAATCCCCTAGTCTTTTCATGTAGAAATCGATGGGAGTTAGAAGGCTGAGGAAAGGACAGCAATCATGGCTTGCATAGCAACGTCTGTCCTTTCTCCAGACTCCAACCACTGATAGGGATGTCAGTGTGCTAAATCCAGCCGCGACGACTGCCCTACTTTGGCTTGGCTGTGTGAACATAGGCTCAGACGGTAGTATCCTATCTGCTTAGTCGCCTCCTTACTAAAGTTACCAATTAGCAATAAAATCAAACCTTAAGTTTATTATTATAAGCAGTGATACATTCTCCATATTTACAACAAAGAAATGTACATTACTTGCCATCATGGCTTTGGAACACGTGATATTTTACAAGATGACTCCAAGTGCAGCAGCTATACTTCTGACTTACTAGTTACAATAAGTTCACATATTTTAAATTTCTTGATTCCTCTGATACAAGACTAAATAAAACCTCTGTAATATAAGCATATATAAATATAGGGTTATCTTTCCCTGGAGCAATGATGTTTCTAGGTATAAAAAAAACATTTCTACATTAAAACATTTCTCCACTTTGGTTTACATAGAGCTTTCCTTTGCCCTCAATCTACAGAAATGTTAATTGGCAGATGTAACTAGAGGTCAAAACTGAGTACAGTCTGATATAAGAGATGTTGGTTTTTTTCATGTGAACAGTATATAGTAGTATGGGTGCAAAAGTCAATGCTATTTGGTTTAGGAACAGTCTCTTCCCACCCTGCACTGCACTCAGTTGGCATACTCAAGGTTTGGACCCACAAGGACTTGGAGCTAGCTATCAGCTATCTATGATCACTCTTTTACAAAAGGGGTTGGGGGAATAATCCTTCCTTATCTCATCAAGAAGCGTGCTCCTCTTTTAAGCTCATTTGGATGAATGGTCAGCCATTCTCTTCAGGGGTAAACAGGAGCTAATGTGCACATCAGTTCTGCACCAGGCTTCTGCTTATGCGATGCTATCCAGATCCACACAGCATAGGCATACCATAGCAAGAGGGGCTGAATTTGCCTCTGAACAACTTAAGTAAGGACCATTTTTCACAAAGTGGCCTTTGTGGTTTGTTTTTGGTTTTTTGTTTGTTTGTTTGTTTTGGTATTTTTTTTTACAACAAACAAGCCTAATGCAATATTATTATTGCAGCACAGCATTCTAGTAAATATGAAGTAATGGACGTATTAATTTGTTGCATTCAGAGATGCTTAGTCACTAGTCATTAAACTTTTTACAGATAGATGAGAAGAAAAAGCAAGAAAGCAAGTAAGCAAGCAAATAACAAAAAGGGGACATAACAAAAACAATTAAGGCAGCATAACAACAAAATAATCTGTAAAATAAATGAATTTGAAACCAACCATTAAAAGGAAAGAAATGTAATTGCTTATGTGCTGGCTGTTCAAAACTGATGCACCACACTAGTATAGCTTTTGTGAAAAGAACAATTCTATACTATAAGGACGATCTTGGATGCCCCTGGAACTGCTTTGCAACCCTATTATCAAGCCCTATGAAGGACTAATAACACTGACCACAGCCAGGCAACATACAGCCAAGCAGTGTGCAAGCTTGCACACTGCAGTTCGCCAAAGTCACTTCATGCTGTTACAGTCCTTGGGCACTCAGGCAGAAGCTATTCGTCTTGCTGAACTGTCCTGTATTTTAACTAAATTTCTGTAATTCTGCAATTATATTTTTGCCACTAGTGAAACAGTTTGAAAAGGGTATATTTTGTACTTGTACTAAGCATACTGAAAAACTGGGTATGTTCTACTTGCATTCCTCGCCTCTGTCTTGTGTAGGTTAAATGCCAGTTAATACTTTAATTCTGTAAATGCTTATGCATGTGCATAAGCATTTGTAGGATCAGTACTTTAGAACATTAACTCACTGAGTTAAAAAAAAATTGTGGCTCTACTTGAGCAGCATTAACACAAATAAATGGTACAATTTAAAGTACTTCAACAAAGGTTATTCAGAATCAGGAACTGCCTTAGTAATTGAATTTTTTTTATTTCTAAGTTAATTTTACCTATGAAGAACTGTGCTTAAAACCGTAGTCTGTGCTACAGCCAGGCTCCTCTCTTCTATGGCTTTTATTGTGCATTCTCCTTGGCACAGTGTGAAAAAGGTCCAACTTATCTTCTGTGAATATAATTTTTTCCTGCTCTTTTGTCTTCAGCAGACAATTTAGACAGTAGCTTCAGGAACTTCACTTATGGCAAAATACAAAAATATTTTTGCAGTATCATCATGTGTAGAAATGCAATAGTTCATAATATTTCATGCTATTTATGTGATATCATAATCTGATACTTTAAGCAATCCTAAAATCAAAGAATCTAAGTAGCTAGAGAACACTAACATTTTAAAACAAAGATATTTTTCTGGATCCTTACAACATATTTCATGAAAATGAATGTGCCAGCCAGTATTACTGACATCATTCCACTCCTCTAAAAAATGTATATAAGTAAATTCCAAGCTTTTGACCAATCTGCTTTTCCTTTGCCCCTACTGGGAAAATTACTGGTAGGTACAACAGACTAGTTCAGTCACTCTTGCTTTAATACTGCCAAAGACAGCTACCAGGATGTGGATACATGTACATAAAAACTTGACCAAATGCAACTCTCTCCAATCTAACGAACAGATAAAGCAAGGACATTCACAGAGTGCTAACCCATCAGCTTCAAACTCAGCAATTCAATTATGACAAACTCTGCGTTTTGGTAGCCACCAAAACCAACACGATTCAAAATGCAAGCAATGCAGCAATGCTGTTTACCTTACCTTGTTCAATAGCGTTTGTTGACTTGCCATCATAGGATCATATTGCATTTGATCCACGCAGCTGGGCTGTGCTTCTTGGGTGCACTGGTACATAGAAACAGCGCCTGCATAGCATGTTTGAGGAGTTAGCATAACCGAGTCAGAGTTTATCCCACACTCATGATTTTCAGGGACTTGCTGCAAACAACTGAGAAAATCCTCCAAGTTGGAAGAAGCAGAATAGGTCGATCTGTCAAAACCTGCTACAGGGAAATCCATTTGAGCAAAATTAGAAAGCTGTGGCATCATTGCTGTGGGCTGCTTGTAAGGAACAAACTCTTGCCTACACGCATAAGGGGAAGCATTTACTTCTGATTTGTAAGAGAACTCGGATGCAGTGGCATGCATGCCAGGGAATACATACTGCTGGGGCTGCTGCTCCGAGCAGCTAAGAGGCATGCTGGTGCCAGAGCTCCAATTTGCAAACATCCCATTGACTTGCATATGTTTCATCTTTTGACAGAGCTGCTGCTGCTGCTGTTGCTGCTGCTGTTGCTGCTGCTCCACGAGCTGTTTCTGGTGCTGATGAAGTTGATGTGGATCTAACTCTTGCTGTACCAAGCAACCTTCATTCTGGACCAGGGGCTGCTGTTGGTTACAGCCTGAATATAAGAAGTCAGACTTATTTAAGGAATCCTGAACATAAGTCAGGATTTCATCAGTTATGTCGATATCCCCAATATCATCCACACCAGATAATTCAGTTTTAAAAAACTCCTCATCCTGCTGAGTACACTTTAGATCTTCAAAGTCAATACCCAGATTTTTCATGATGCTGTACAAATCACTGGTTTTGTTATCTTGAAAGAGTGCTGCACTGTCTTCAGGAAGCGGAACAGTACTGTCCTGGGAACACTCCATTAGCTCCCGTTTGAGAACGTTGTGATTTCCAGCAGGTAGGAGATTATCTGTCCAGCCACTGCTAACAACACCGCCCAGTTCATCCCTGCTGTCTGCAAAGAAGTTCCGCTCAAAGGAAAGTTTATGTGATGCTGGAGGGCAGAGATACACAGACTCGTCTTGCCTTAACATGGCACCTAGGAGGGAGTTTGGATCCACGGAATCATTGTGTGGCGTTGCTTTGGCTCCTTTTCCCATTGCGCTTTTATTCTTCAGCTGAGAGGGATCGATAAGGATCGACAATGGGAAAGAAACCTCAACTGA